GGGAATTAGTTTTGAATAGAAGAAAACGGTTAACAATACATAGAGTTGTGTGTTTGGACTTACAAGAGCAGTGTATCCACTGATGAAATGATACATAGTCTGAGCCAAATTCAGCCTGCTAATCGGAGGCAAGACTCCGAAAGCGTCGCAAGCCAAAAGGATTACGTTCTTCGGGTGCGGTCCAACGCACGGTATCTTCGAGTTTGGAATATACTCGATCGGATAAGCCGCACGTGTGTTCTCAGTCACTGATTTGTCTGTATAGTCCACTTCTCTTGTATGCTCATCAAACACAACATTCTCCAAAACTGTCACCAAAACCCAAAAAAAACATTTTCAAACAAATGTGTTTGGAATAATTAACAATTGTTAAAAAAACAAGTTTTGTTGGAATATATATATGATTTTACCAGTTCCAAATTTGATAGCGTTCCATATATCAGGCTCTTTCTCCCTCGCTAAATCAATGCATTTCGCGTAGCAACCACCTTCGATATTCGATACTCCTGTCTCACTCCAACAATGTTCATCATCACCGATCAAATAACGGTTATGATCAGTCGACAAAGTAGTTTTTCCGGTACCAGAGAGTCCGAAAAAGAGAGCAACATCTCCATCTTTGCCCATGTTACAACCAGAGTGAAGTGACAAAATCTTTCTCTTAGGCATCAAATAATGCATAACACCAAAGAGACCTTTCTTCATTTCTCCAGCATATTGTGTCCCTAGAATCACCATCTCTCTTCTTCCTAGGTTTATGTCCACACTCGTCGACGATGTCATGTAATGAGTGTAACGGTTACAAGGGAATTTTCCAGCGTTATATATCGTGAAATCGGGTGTTCCAAAATTCTCTAGCTCCTCAGGTGTTGGACGGATACACATGTTGTGCATGAAAAGTGAATGGTATGCTCTTGCTGATACAATTCTTACTTTGATTCTGTTCTCTGGATCCCAGTTTAGGTATTGATCATTCACAAACACCTAACAATAAAACATAATTAAATTTTTATATAGTCTATATAATTTCGACTAGAATATCTCTATTTAAATGTATATGTTTGTTTGACTAAGTTACCTTGTCCAAAGAGTTTAAGTAATCAACAGCTCTCTCACGGTTCACCAAAAATGTTTTTTCATCCATTTCAATGTTTGGTGATCCTCTGTTATGCAAACAAAATATAACATAATGTATAAGGGTTGAATAATAAGTTAATAACACTATGTCACTATCGTTATCAATAAAATTATTTCTATAGTTTTAGTGATTTTCATTTGTTAACATATTATGTAAACGTTGAGAGTGAAAGGGACTCACTTTCCCCACCAGAGTTCGGACTCGGTGGTCTCATCCTTAACCACACGCTTGTCTTTAGGAGACCGACCGGTTTTGGCTCCAGACAAGGTAGCCAACGCACCGGTCGATGTCACAAAGGATCCTTTCTCATACTTTATCGCCTGCTCATACAACTCTGCAATTACAAAATTTTCGAAATGTGATGTTTTATTTCATAAGCATTTAAAAAATGTAACCGGTTGCGTTTTAGGAGGGGTTACCGGCGGGAGAGAGGTTGTGAAGGATGTGAGTGAACTTCAAGCCACTGTCACTGACGTCAGTAACCGGAAGTGACGTAGGAGTTTGTGGCACGTGCGCAACTTTAGCCGCCGACGTCGGATCTCCTCTGATTAACTTTGGCCCTGTCTCTCTCGTCAACGAAGCCAACGATGCACTGTCCCATTTATCACCAAAATAAA